GCGCAGACACACACCTATAGAGTCAACACATTTGTTTCTCAGGAAAAGATAAAGATGATGGTACCAGGCTGCTGAGAGCTGGTCATATAGCTTAAGCATTATCCATGATGAAATTATCAAAACTGTTACTACTTAAAGATAATTTCTTATGTGTTTTCAGGTTGAATATCAGTGTGAAGGCTTTCTGGAAAAGAACAAAGACACTGTTTTTGAAGAACAAATTAAAGTTCTTAAGTCAAGCAAGGTAATTATGGGTAGGCTTATTCTAACCAAGATATATTAAAGAAAAATCGAATTACTTCCTTAGGCATTTACTTTGTGTGTATTTGGGGAAGGAGTGATGGGGCTTCTGTTAAACATACAATTTCCCTTACTGTTCCTGGCTCAGTTTAAGATGCTACCAGAACTTTTTCAAGATGATGAAAAGGCCATCAGCCCAACTTCAGCCACCTCTTCGGGGCGCACACCCCTCAGCCGCACTCCAGTAAAGCCCACTAAAGGCAGACCAGGCCAGATGGCCAAAGAGCACAAGAAAACAGTGGGGCACCAGGTAAGTTCAGGGAGCTACTGCTGCCATGCTCCCTTCCCCCTGCTTACCTGAAGCCTCAGCTCTTCCTTCCCCAGCCTCCCAGGTGGGATGCGAGGATGAGTACTTCCATTACACGTGCCAGTCCTGCCCACTCACTCCTCTCCCCCTGTACTAGACACGTGACTATACCAGCCTTTCCCGGAATAATGTTCTCTATCTCAATATTGTGGTCGATCGAGCTATCTATCTATCTATCTATCTATCTATCTATCTATCTATCTCTGAGTTAAATTGTAAAGTTTAAGCAAATTTTAAGTGCAAATTTAGCATTCTTGTGTAGTAGCAGCTCCTCTTCTGAAAGTGGATCATGTTCAGAGGTAGGAAGATCATGCCCATTGATGCCATAGGAAGAGAATTCTAAATTGCTTTGACTTGACAAGACCTTGATGGCTCTCATCACCCTTTCTCACACAGTTCCGAAACTCCCTTCACCTGCTAATGGAGACCCTCAATGCCACCACCCCTCACTACGTGCGCTGTATCAAGCCCAATGACTTCAAGTTTCCTTTCACGTAAGTATTTCTCAGCCACAGAACAAAAAGTGGCCACATTGTGTAATGGTTGCCAAACCCAAGGGAAAAAATAACTCAAGTAAATCTTTATGTTTTAGAAGGAAACTGGGAATTAATAGAATTACTGGAGTTTTTCTTCCTTTTGAGGACAAATTAGCATTCTAAGAATTTGAAATGTGAGATCCACTAAGCAGTTCAGGTAGATACTCTCATGTTCATTTCAGGTCAGAAATCTGGTTGAGCTGCTTAGTAAGCTATGGAAAGACTTAGTTTTCAGAGTTTTCTAGATTTCAAAATTACAGACAGGAGATTGTACTCTCTCTTCCCCTTCCCAGTTCTCTTGCTCTCCCTCTCAGTGTGTGTGTGTGTGTGTGTGTGTGTGCGTGCGTGTGCATGTGTGTGTGTGTGCGCGTGTGCTGTGCAACATGAGCTTTCTTATGAATCATAGGAGATGTTTCTAGGTCTTTATTTTCCTGCTAATTGTCTCTTCTCCACTGTCTCATGGAGTTTTCCATTTGGATATTTGCTTCAGCTTCTGAATACTTTCTTTCCTAATTTATCTACTTGGTTCTTTGCAAATGCATCTGAGTCCCCCCTGAGGAACACGGCAGTTTGGTTCTTCAGGGACTGATGGCTGTCATCTGCACATGTAGGTTTGATGAGAAGAGGGCTGTTCAGCAGCTGAGAGCATGTGGCGTCCTGGAAACCATCCGAATCAGTGCAGCAGGCTTCCCCTCCAGGTGAGCCTGCCAGCTTCTGTATAAGGGGCCTGTTGGGACAGGTTCCTGGTGCCTTAAGCTGATGTGATTGTCATTTTATAGGTGGACTTATCAGGAATTTTTCAGCCGTTACCGGGTCCTAATGAAGCAAAAGGATGTACTGGGTGACAGAAAGCAAACCTGCAAGAATGTGTTAGAGAAACTCATACTGGTGAGAAAGATGGCCTTGCCATTGTGATGTGTGAAAGCCCTGAAAATGTTCGTGCTAAGATCATTAATCCAGATTGTTTGTGTGTGAGAGGGGATTGTTAGGGGAACGGTCTCAGTGATCAAGGCTCACTGTCTTTGGGATGCTAGCGATAATGATGATGATGATGATGATGATGATGATGATGATGAAGAAGATGATGATCCACTATGAGGAAACAGTGTGACAAGGCCTAGACCTAGACTTGAGAGACCAGGCAAGGTGATGCATAATTAAAGGGGGGGAAAAAGGAGTCTTAATCTAAAGGGACAAAGTCCATCTTCTTAACAGTGCATTTTAAAGGTAAGTAAAATGCCTTTTTTTTTTTTTTTGGTCCAGTGGTGGGGCCTGAACTCTGGGCCTGAGCGCTGTCCCTCAGCTCTTCAGCTCAAGGCTAG